CAGCACCAGGATAGACACTATAGGGGAAAGAGCAAGGGGATGGGTTTAGAGTAGAGGGCTGTAGTGGGGGAGCGAGCAGGACCTGGAAGGGCAGGCTAGTCACTGGGGAGCAGGGAATCCTTCCACTCAGCTCCTGTTAACCCTGCAAGCCATAGTGCTAACTAATGGGTCCTAGCTGGACAAACTAAAAAAAAAACTTGAGACCGGCCTCCCTCGCAGGTTTTTCACAGGATTCACTATAATGACCAAAAATTGACAGTGACCGCTTTCTCATCAGGAGCAGCCTCTTCCAGGACACAGCTGGTTCCTCTCTGTTCCTGACTCCACCTTACTCTGTGAACAGCAACTACAGCAACCCCAACCCTTCTTACTGGCAAGCCATGGTGAGTGAGCGAGCGGGGAGATGGGGGTTCTGTGTTTCCACTCAGCGTTGAGAAAGGTCAGAGGGGTCGATCGAGAGGCTCGTGTCGCTGGCGGGGTAGTGGGGATGGCGGAGGGAGAAGAAGAGCAGAGCGGTTCTCAATACCAGCTCAGATAATCATAATAATTTTGCCTGCAAAATACAGTCAATTCATGTTACAGTATATGCTGTGAAGCCTTTTGAGACGTCTCGAAGACGTGATAAGGCGCTCCATCGAATGCAATGATTATTATTATTATGATTCTTGCATTTGATGGAGCGTCTTATCACGTCTTCGAGACAACAACAACTTGCACTTATATAGCTCCCTCCACGCAGGGTAGCGTCTCATAGCTCTTATTGAAGCGCTTCACAGAATATACTGTAAAGTGAATTGACTGTATATTTTGTGGACGAAACGCGGCAGCCGATTGCACACAGCGGTGTCAGTTGTTGGATGTGAACCTGGCTCAGTGTGGTGGCACTCTCGCCTCTTGAGTCAGAAGGGGGTTAAGGCCCATGTCGGGACATTGTGGAATCCTGTAGCTCAGTAGTTAGAGCACTCACCTCGCAAGCGAGAGGACCTGGATCCGATTCCGGTCAGGGCAAAACATTGGGCAAGTTTCCTTACTTCACACACACGCCTCTGTTCACCTAGCAGTAAGTAGGAACCCGGTTGTTAGGCGATGACGGATCGCTTTTCCTGTGGTAATATTCCCTTCAAATAAACAAAAAAATAAATCATAAATTGGTCACTCAATCTACGACTGTTTATGGGGACCAGCTGTGTGCAATTGGCTGCCGGGTTTCACCCACAAATTTTTTTAGTCAATTCACTCTACAGTTTTTCCCCTTGAAGCGCTTTGAGTCGTCTCGAAGACGTGATAAGGCGCTGTATCAAATGCAAGGATTATTATTACTATTATTATTCTTGAGCTCATAGTCTAGGATGGCGCTCCAGTGTTAAATCGAGGTCTCCTCTGTGTCTGTTCAGATGGACGTTAAAGATCTCGTGAGGCTTTGGAAAAAAGGAGAAGGGAGTTTTTCCCCACATAAATTCCACCCCCCCCGTCAGCGGGATATTGCTCAAGTCAAAGCGGTATTCTTTACAATACAATGCAGCGGAAAGCTTGCCAGACAGCGACATGAACGGCAAGCTAGCTAGACTCCAGCAGTTACCCCCGACACACACTCTGTGATCCCCTCTAAGTCTTGACTCTTGCCAACTTGCGCCTGACACTCAACGGAATTAGGTAAGCAGGAAGCGTCCCTCCAGGGAGAAAGAGAGAGAAAAAGAGAGTGCACATTCCATTCCAACAACCTATCTCTGGGATTTCCGTGTGTAGGTGGGATGCGTGGAATTCTCAGCTTGGTTTGGAGACTCTTAAGCGATGGTGATGGGTTTCCGCACGCGTCAGACACCCGGCTAACCAAATGCTCCCCCCCCACCCCAAACAGCCGCGATGTCGATTAACCTGTGGGTAGTCATTGGCGGGATAAGACGCAGTACGCACGCAAATTCTTTTCATTCCCGTTCAGGTGAACACTTACACGCTACAGCAATACCACATCAACGCACATCTGGCTCAACAGCAGCAGCAGCAGCAACAGCTGTACTACCAGGCCCTGTCCCAGGAGCTGGGGACCACGCCTCTCTCTGCGTCCTACTTCAACTCCGGCACCGGATTGTCGCAGGCTGGCTGGGGGGAGAGGGAGCCGGAGGAGATGGAGAGAGACCGAGGCAAATCTGACAACGGGGCCAACGACATGAACTGGAGTAGCGGCAGCGAGGCCGACCGGAACAGAGATGGACTGAGGAGCGGACACAGAGAGCACCACCACTACAAGAAGCACAAGTCCAAGAAAAAGAAGCACTGAAATCTGGCATTTCCTTTACCCCCTTTCCCCTTCCTCTCTTCCCTCCTCTCTCCTGCTCCCTCCTCCCTCCAGGGCAAGGCTGAGGAAGGGCGATTTACAAATGTAAGCGAGTGAGTGATGGATAGATGCTGTTTCATCCGATGTCCCGAGTTTGAACTGTGCGATTGGAGATGATCAGCTGCTGAGTTGTTGCAAAGTTTATCCCTCCCTCCCTCCCTCCCTCCGCACCTGCACTAGATAACCTAACCAAGGCTTGTGTGTACATTGGTTGGCAGGTTGGTGAGCAATTCCATGTTACGTCACCTGCAGGTAATAACTGCGTTTACACTGGGCAAAAAAATATGGTGTAAAAAAAATTAAAACAGAAACATGCAGAGAGAGAGAGAGGGAAATCTATCGATTCGTTTCTCTGTTGGAAGACTGTGATCGAGATTGAAGGATTCCAGAACACAGCTGTAATTTCAAGCCGTTTCGGGTCTTTTTTTTTATGCGGGTGGTGATGATGGTGTGTAGGGGGGAAGGGAAAGACAACGACAACTTGCATTTACATAGAGGCCGTCACGTGGGGTAAGATCTCGGAGGGCTTAGCAGTGGCGGAGCATCACTCCAAGCTGGGAAAGAGCACGATTCCCGGGGCAGGGGAAAACCTTAGGGGCGTGTCCTTACTCCACCCGCCACTGTTTACCCAGTAGTAAGTAGGAGCCCAGTTGTTAGTCAATTGGCGAATCGCTTTTCCGGGGATAATAATTCCTTAAAAAAAAATCGTTCACTCAATCCTTGACTATTTGTGGGACGCTGCTGTGCGTAATTGGCTGCCGCGTTTCACCCACAAAATATACAGTCAGTTCACATTACAGTAGATTCTGTGAAGCGCTTTGAGACGTCTCGAAGACGTGAAAGTGCATTAAATCAAAAACACGAATTATTGCACTTTTTAAGAGAGGGTAGAAGTTCATACATATGGAATAATAATATAATGATCCCTCCTGTTCAACCACTATGAAGATTATTTCGAAAATAGCGGTTCTTCAATTTGCAGAAGTTAATTTGGGGAATATTTGCTTGCCTGTTGGTGTGTTGAAAGGGAATTGCAAGCCGGTTTGCACAACTGACTTGACTAACATTCCTTGGAAGGGGGAGAGTGGGGTGGGGTGGGTAAGGAGAGTTAGGCCGGGTTTCTTAAGCATTGAGCTGGCTCCAAGATGACATGCTGGGCAGTGGAATGACAGAATTGAGACAACAACAACAAATTACATTTGTAAAGCGCCTTTCACGTCGGGAGGACTTCCTGGACAGACAGAGTTGTGGACCTGAGCTGGGGGTTGGGGTAGGTGGAGGGCAGGGGGTAAGCAGGGAGATTGAAAGCACTGTCGTTGAGATGGGTCTTGAAGGTGGTAAGGGAGGGGGCGAGGTGGAGGGACTGTGGGATGGAGTTCCAGAGGGTGGGGACAGAATGGCAGAAGACGTGTCCTCCATTAGCAGGGCGAGTGAGGCCGGGGGATGTGAAACTGGCCGGAGCCCGCTGAGCGGAGGTAGCGAGCAGGATGGTAGTGGGTTAGGAGTCGCAGAGGTGGGGGGGAAGCGAGGCCATGGAGGGCTTCAGCAGAGACCTGAAAGTAGGAAAGGAGGGAGCGAGGCGAAGGGAGTGAGGAAGGGAATTCCAGAGCCTCGTGCCGCAGTGGCTGAAGGCACGGCCGCCGAGGGTTGAGCGGAGGACTCGGGGAACGAGGAGGAGGCCAGACCTGGAGGAATGAAGGCAACAGGTACTGTTTTGAGGAGAGAGGAGGTCAGAGAGGTCGGGGGGTGCAGAGGAGTGCAGGGACTTGAATACAAGGGTGAGGATCTTGAAGTCGATCCTCTCTGGGATAGGCAGTCAGTGCAGTCTGGCGAGGACTGGGGTGATCGGGAGTGGAGTTTCGTGCGGATGAGAATGCGGGCGGCAGAGTTTTGAATGATCTGAATTTTGTGGATGGTAGTGGAGGGGAGACCGGCGAGGAGGGCGTTAGAGTAGTCCAGCCGAGAGGTGACGAAGGCATGGACCAGGGTTTCAGCGGCTTTTGGGGTGAGTTATTGGCGGAGACGGACGATGCGTTGGAGGTGGAAGAAAGATGCGTCGGTGCTGGTGTGGGACCAGATGTGGGGGAGGAAGGATAATTGGGGGTCGAACCTGACACGTAGGTTGCTTACGGGTACGGAGAGTTTTAGGGGGAGGGCGGGTAGGTGGAGAAGGTAACAGCAGTGAGATGTTAGATGTTGACGAGAGCCAAAGAGTATGCCTTCCGTCTTGTCAACATTCAGCTGAAGGAGTTTGCGCTCATCCAGCCCCTGAGATCTGACAGGCAGACTGACAGAACATCAGGGGACTGGGGGTCGCAAAGAGAGGTGGAAAAATAGAGTTGGGTGTCGTCTGCATACGTGTGGAAATGCACCCCATGTCTGCGGATGACATCCCCAAGAGGGAGCATACAGATCAGAAAGAGGAAGGGGCCAAGGATGGATCCTTGGGGTATCCTGCAGGTGACCGGCTGAGAGCGGAGGGAGAAGCCGTTTGTGCAGATGTACTGCTGGTGGTTTGTGAGGTAGGACTTGAATCAGGCGAGTGCGGTCCCACTGAGGTGGATGATGGAGGTCGAGGAGAGAGAAGGCGGGGAGGGCGGTGGGAGAGATGGACACGGGCTGCTGAGTTCTAGATGAGAATCCTCTGTGATAATAATAATAATCCATGCACTTGATATAGCTTCTTATCACGATCTCCAGACGTTTCAAGGCTCATTACAGAATATACTGTCAAGTGTGGTGACTGTATACTTTGTGGGCGTCATGTAGCCATCTTGCCCTGCTTCCATTTCCGCTTCAGCTCCCTGGCACGATTGCACAGATCATATATTTGAGCTCTGGCGATGAGGAACAGAGGGCTCAGGGCAAAGAGAGATCTTCACACTCGTGTTCAAATCCCTTCACGCTCTGGCACCTCTGGATCTCACTCCCCAATCCACCAACCGGCACCTCCACTCGACTGGCAACGGCCTCCTGCTCGTCTCTCGCACTCTCCGCCCCACCATCGGAGGTCGCGCTTTCAGCCACTACGCCCTGAATCTGTGGAACACTCTCTCTCAATCCCTCCGCCTTACCCCCTCTCTCCCCTTTTTGAAGTCCCGCCTGAAAACCTTCCTCTTTGACCGTGCTTACGGCAAGCGAGAGACCTGGGTTAAATCTCCGGGAGGGCAAAACCTTGGGCAAGTTTCCTTACCCCACATGCCTGTTTGTGGGACGCTGCTGTGCGCAATCGGTTGCCATGTTTCGCCCACAAATATACAGTCAATTCACCTTACAGTATATTCTGTGAAGCGCTTTGAGACGTCAGAAGACGTGAAAAGGGCTACATCAAATGCAAGGATTATTATTATATCAGCCCGTCTGCTCAGCAGACTCCGCCCTGCTCCACGACCATCACCCGGCCCACTCTGCCATGAGCAGTCGGGCCTTCAGCATTTCTGCCCCCACCCTTTGGGACTCCATCCCACATTACCTTTGTCTCACTCCCACCCTTTCCTCCTTCAAGGCACATCTCAAGGCCCTCCTCTTTGACTGCGCCTTAGTCCACCCACCATCCTCCCTGATCCCAACCCCCAGCTCGGGCCCCAAATCGTTGATTGTCCAGCGCCTTGGCACATCCTCCCAATATGAAAGGTGCTGTAAAATATAATTTTGTATTGTGTTGTGATGGCTGTCAGGAGCGAAGTTTGAGTTGTAATGTTTAATGTTGCGATGTTGATGCTTAAATATTTCATAACAAGATCCCAGGATTGTATTCGGATGAAGAATATCCTTTGGCACATTGGAAACCATCCAAACAGAGACCTATCCACCACACCTACTGGCAAAACCTATTCCAGTCAGTAATTACCTTCAAGAAATACTTCCTATTATGAAATTGCTCTTCATAAATCTAAATCTATGTCTTCGTTTACCGCCTTCGTGCGTCTGAAAGTATTGTTCTGGGTTTGCGCTTTTAATCCCATTTAAAATGTTATTACACGTCTATGGTGTTCTCACTGAATCGTCTTCTCTCAAGATTCACACTGAAATAGTGTAATTTATGTGCATTCATGTTTTGGTGAATAAAACGTGTTTTACAGGAACATTGTCCACACCCTCCATCCTCCACCCACCATCTTCACTCAGACTGTTGAGCTGATGTAATGTCAGCTCTCACTGTCTTGATTTAATTGCTAATAATCATTGCATTTGATGTAGAGTCTCAACACGTCGCCAAAACATCTCGAAGGCTTTACTGTAAAGTGTGTATTTTGTACCCAAAGCGGCAGCTGATATGCGCACATCAGTGTCCCACAAACAGCCACAAAGTGAATGACACAAACCAAATGAGGTGTGGTATTTGCATGCGTTCAGCTTTTATTGTGTTCAAGTACACACATCCTATCTCTATCTCTACAGCAGCGAAAGCAGAAAGTGGTTTGGAATTTACTGTGTAACGCGTAGCAACACAAATATACTTATTAAAGCAATGAACAGATAGACGTGGAGGAGCTGGGATCCATGAGCAGCGAGCGCCAGCTGTCTCTGTCTCTCCACTATCCTTAGACATTGCAGCCCTGCACATAGCGCTGGAGGTTCCTCCCTCTGCAGTGATCTCTCCAGCCGTACCTGCAAAGTGAAGAGCGACTGACATTATAGGGAAGTGGCAGTAAAGGGGGAAGTGATCCTGGTGGGACAAGGCCGTCCAGGAGATGTTCAGTCTGTGGCAGGTGGTAACACTCGGAGTGTGAGCTCCCGTTTGCTATGTCTGGGAAGCGCTGTGTGGTTGGAGCTGCCGACCCGCAAATGAGGCATCAACCAAAGTCATTGAAAGATCCCGTCGATATTATTCAACTATTCAAGCGAGTTTCCCAGGTGTCCTGGCCAACAAGCCCCTGAATAAAATTTGTTTTATTTCATTTTGTGGCTAAATTTTGTTTTGTTTTGCGGATATTTCTGTACACAAAAGAAGAATCCTTTATCTTCTGTGCGGTACGGAGAGGATTAATAAATGTAATAATTGTCACCTTTGATACAACGCCTATAACACCAAAAACCCTTCACAAGTAATTGCCGTGAACTATAGCGACTGCTTTTAGCAGCAGCCAATTTGTGCACAGCATTGTTCCTGCAAACAGCCACAGAGTGAGCAGCCAATTATTATCGGGGCATTGTCGGTCAGGACCTTGGGGGGCAACTCCCTTCTCCTTTTGCATAGAGCCGCTGGATCTTTAACGTCCACCTGAACAGGTACAGAGAGAACCTCAGTGTAACGTCTCATCCGAAGCCTGACACCTCTTACAATGCAGCGCTCCCCACAACCGCACAGGAGCATCAGC